GTGGCTTGGGTATTCAATCTGTTATTCTTGCCTGCTTGAGCGTATTCCAGGCCTATAGCGTCATTAATGCGCTTCTCAAGACAACTAGAAGACGATCGAGCAAATACGTGCGCATAGCGCACCGTCTTTTAATGACTGCGATCATATTGGTCATTGTATTGTCATTTGCTTCATGGGCAGCGTCTATAGGAGCCGGCATTTTATTACGCAAACCAGATATAGAGCTTAATCGATTGGGAACGCTTGGCGACCAGCTTTCTGTCAGTGGCGTGGCTTTTGAAGTTCTTTTTGAATCAATTGCCTTGCTAGTTATGATTGATCTAGTAAGCCGCGAAAGAATGTCGGACAGTAGCAGCACTACTATGACTGAACAGTCAAGGTCCATACAGTCACACTCTAGCAGTGGTGCACACAGTGAAACCGTACTGATCACAGTGCTTGAAAAAGAAGACCGTGCACCACATGCATCTGCTGCTCGGGCTGATAGATCCAAACCCAGTATATTTGGCAACAGTGTAAATACTAGTTTTATACGAAAACTAGATGCACGATTAAACGATTTAACTCGGGGATCCACCTCCTCCCTTGATTCCAGATAGCATTTTGTACATTCATCGCTGCATTTACGTAGACAACATTTTTGTATCCTTACACTGGCTGCCTCTTGTTTCGTAATAAATCATGGTTAAACATTCATTACGCTTTCCTACTACCAATTGACCACTTTTTAATCGACATTCTCAATATCTGGAGTTGCACACCGTGTAGAACCATTTCTATTAAATTGTTGGTGGGTTTGGAATAGGTAATATGAAAATGTATATCTCGTGACATTGCTATTGAATGGTTAACAGGTCATATTGAATCAATAAATGCATGACTTTGTCAGAGTCTGAATGACAATACAGGCCAGTAAATGTGATGAGAATGATCATTTCATGAAATAACTATTTATTATGCATTTTGGCACTTTTGTTTAGTGTTGCACAAGATATACTAGACATGACTTGTTATACAGTCATATTGACGTAAAATGAAACCCTTGGCTTCAATTCAGTCCTGGATGCCGCTCTGAAGAATCAGTTTATCCGCAAATACTCGGAGCCAACGAATAGTTTTATTTTACTCGAGCAATTATTGGTTTGAAAAATAGCCGAGATTTTTTGTAGAAATCATTGATTAAAAGTAGCAAAAGGTTTCATTTGAATATCAAACTAAACAGGATATAGTAAATGAAAAGTACAATGCCATAACGCCTTCATGTTGAAGAGTTAGAGAGCAGTAGTACGGAGGTATGGCTTGTGGATCTTGTGACCAGGAAATAGCTTGTCAGCATCAGCCTGGCTGACAGAAGGAGGAATAATCACATCCTGACCAGGCAGCCAGTTGACAGGGGTACAGACCTTGCGCTTCTCGGTAAGCTGGAGAGAATCAACGACACGCAGAACCTCGTTGAAGTTGCGACCAGTGGATGCAGGATAGGTCAAGATGAGTCGGACAACGTGCTTGGGATCGATAATAAAAACAGATCTCACAGTCAAGGGCATACCAAGCTTGTCTACATTGGTAGAATCTTGCTGGTCCAACATGCCATACAAAGTGGCAATGGAACGATCGGCATCAGCAATGATTGGAAACTTGACAGTGGTGTTCTGAGTTGATCAATGTCAGATAGATCAGAACACACTTCATAAAATTCGCTGCTAGATCAGGTTCTCATGGTTCCTTACACACAAGATCTGATACTGCATATGTTGACAACAGTTTGCTTACCTGGGTTTCATTGATGTCAGCAATCCAGGCTTCATGAGAGTCTAGAGTGTTGCAAGACAAACCGATGGGTTTGATGTTGCGTTCAGCCCATTCACTAGATAGCTTGGCAACAGCACCAAGCTCGGTGGTACAGACAGGGGCTGACAATACAAGAGGAGTAGATGAATCAAGTTAAAATCAGTTGAAGCCAGGATTGGGATTGAGATGATAAGGTATTAGCTTGTATTCGACCCAATGGATTTACAGCCATTTAAACAACTCAGTAATCTCAAACTTACTAAAGTCCTCTGGATGCGAGAACAGAATGGCCCATGAATCCTTTTTGAATTCATGGAACTCAATCTGACCCTGAGTGGTCTTGGCATCAAAGTTGGGAGCTGTATCGCCCAGACGCAAGCCACGAGCAGCGGCAGCAACAGAGGCAGGGGTAGCTTTGGAGATGCAGGGATTGGTCATTATGCAATAAGTTGGTAATAACCTGGTAAAGTTTCGAGAAATCTCGACATTTACAGCCGTATTCGCGTAAAATGAAATACTTTTGTGTTGATCTTGTAATGATTGTCTTGGAATAAACAATAAATATTCATTGTTGTTGAAAACTGGTTATTTCTCTTATTCTAACTCTATCTTAATATCAGATACGTTTGAGATCTAGTCCAAGAAAACATCTCGGGAATACAACTGTTGTTTCCATTCCAGTCATCCAGTGTTTGGAGGAAAGTTGAAGGTTGAAAAGATATCAAGAATGTGTTGGAACAGAAATGTGAATATTTGTTTTGTATTTTGCACAAGAATGAGTATGAATATGGCCGTAAAATAACGCATCAACACTTGCACCATTCTAGCCGTTATAGCAATTTTAGCGACTCCAAAGCTTTTCGGTATACCGTTCCGTTGTGTTCTATCGTGTTTTCTAATCAAGTATTTCCAAGCACATTTATCTATACTCTTCCGATTACGGAATCATATAGATTGACAGTCAAGTGATCTGAACTCAATTTATTCAATTATCCAGCAGCATGCGTATTGACTGTCATTTCCCTTGCTGAAAGTTCGCCCAGTAATGTCCCTCGAGGAAATATATTTACAAATGTTTCATTATGGGATATGGGCAACTGTGCGGCGAGTTCTCTTTGAAAACGCGCAGATCTCGTATAACTCAACCATGACAAAGTGTCAACTGTTGCTGCACTGTCTTCATCCCTGTATCTTCGATAAGTTATAAAGCCATCTGTAAATAGTACTACTCCCACAATCAGATGTGGAACAAGCTGAGTATCAAATAGACGAAATTGATCAGCATGATTATTTGAACAATACTTGGAATTCACGAATTAAACTTGCCATAACAAGCATGATTGAAACAAAACTAGTTGCAGATCCATTCAGCTTGGCATTGTTTGAACATGTTCCACTATCTACTGTGTATTCTTGATCAACGCATGGTAAAATCAATTGTTGGAGTCCACGTATTCCCACCATGGGAAGGGTCAATCCGAACACAGACCATGGCATACGAAACATGATGGGTGAGTTGATGCTTCCATAGTATACAAGTACTGTTAAATCAAATGCCCAGCGCAAAAAATAAAAAACAATATACATGATGACTATGGGTTGTTTTTTCTATTATAAAAGCCAGATATCAGTGTTATGCATTTCAAATAAAATTGGTTTGGAATCTAATTAGCAACATACGTGAGTGTAGCCCGCCACACCAAGATAAGACGACATGGTGTACCCAATCGGAACTAGCAGTGGTAGCATACCAGTTGAATTGGCTTGAGTTAGCATCACTCCAGAAATAAATGTCAAGATCATGTTGAGTACCTAGTTTGAAAAGTATGAGTGACCTTTATCCATCCAAGACTGACATTACTGCATAAAAATCAAAGCATAAAAGGTTTACCGCATCAAGCAGTGCTAGTATACGAGACATGTTGCGAAACTGAACAGATCGAATACTTTGTGTTTTTGGAATTGTGTATGGTGGTGGGTCTTCTGTCGAGGGAGAGTATGGTGGTGGTTCAACCAACGGCTGCTGTTGAAAACACAAGTCTGAAGCATCTGTAGCTATGGTTTCTGTTGACTGCAACGTAATAGGGATTAATGCCTGCGTTTGTAATTGTGTAATAGCTGTATATTCTGCTCGAGTCGAATGAGTATATGAGTAGGTGTTGTCGCGACTTGGTTGCATATCTAGATTCGCATTTCGAGTGACCATCGTTCTAGTCGAGGAAATCCTAAGTAGTTGCGTTATCAGATTCAAATTGGATGTGTCCTGAACTTGTGCCGCTACTAGTAGTTCAAGTGAGTCTATTTTTTGGTTTTTATTCTTGATGTGACTATGAAATGCTAAAAACAGTTTAATTAAATATGTTGAAAACACGAGCGATTGGATTTATACTTTTTATTATAGCCTTTTATATATATAAAATCAGTTAAACTATGCGCAACTACAATTCAAAAAATCAGAGTTTGCTATATCTGTCTTGAATTGGTCGAATATTTTGGCAGCTCAAACTTGAAATCAGCTACCGTCGTATTTACGTAAAATGAAACACTAAATAGGGGTATCAAGATGCATAATAAAATACCAGCCTCATGATATAATGAGTGTCGTTTTTTACCTAATTTACTGGACAGCATTGTGCACTCTGAACCCCTTCTTCAAGTTTTCTAGTCTTTTCTCATTTTTGTATTAAAGACTCGACAAATGCTCACAAATGTCCTAATAAATCCCACATTCTCGACATTTGTTCAATCTCCAACTCTCTTTTTTCTCAAACCAAGCACTGAATGATTGGTATAGAAACAATTGCATCCTAAGATATGCAATCACTGGTTTCTTGAACTAAAACACAGACGTATGAGATTTAGAATACAGAAACATGAACTGTATAGAGTCGAGTCTAATATCTGGATTGCAAAGGATGAATCTAGTGATCGTACAATTCATGGTTATGCCAAAAGTGGAAAAATGACAATTTGTATTTGATTTGTTGATCGTATTTCAAGGATTGAGAATACCAACTGAATAAACGATCGATCACTAGTAGGAAAGCACAGCAAATATTCAACTATTTTTATTCCAAACCAAAATAAAGTTGCCATAAAGCCAAAAGTATTCCACTTTACGTGACTATTGCCAACACTGAAATGCATTCGTCAGAACCACCAGCGCCATCAGCACCACCAGCACCATCTGGGGATAATATTGCTGCTCAACAAGTATATCCTGAACCAATGCGCTCTTCTCCAGCTGATTTTGCGGCCCAATCATTGCCTGCTGCTGAGAAAGCTTCACTTCAGGATCAAGTAGCTGCTCCAGCGCCTGCTTACACCCCATATGCTCATCCCACTGCTTCTACAATCGATCAATCTAATACTTCTCAGCCAATATGTATTCAGCCCATGATGATTCAACCGGTGAGTTGGGGTCGTCGTCCCCAACCTGTAAAATGTAATACCTGCAACAATGCAGTGCTAACTCAAACAACCACTCATAATGGCAAGTAGTTTGGTGATTGATGGATGTCCTATCATGACCATTTTCCAATTGCTATTATAAATCATGATGGTTGTACTTATGGCTCAGTTTATTGGAATATACAGGACTAGCAATGTGGCTCTCGGTTGGCTTAACTTGTCTTGTTCTTCCCTGCTGCTGCTGGATTCCACTGCTCATCAATGATCTTCAGGTAATGCTATTCATGATTACTTTTATCTACCCCACAAGTGTTGTCTATGTAGCAGTGCCGATCTCTGCTTGGATGCCACATATTTAGCCTCGCAACTTATACCCTGAATATCAACACTGCTTTTTTGCACAATTCTTGCCATGCTTAATCACATTCTCATCAGGGCGTTTTTACTGACCTAATTTTATACAATCATCAAAATGTGGTATGCTGTTATAGGATGTTTCACATGATTGTCCTGTTTGCCAGGCTCATCTTGGAGATGCCAAGCTAATTCGATAGATGCATCATACATTTAGTGTATTCAGAGCTGCTATCTACTCATCAGTTTATCTTTGATTCACACATGTCATTCAAACATATACTGGTTCGAAGCGTCTGAACTATTTTACTAATTCACTTTTACTACAAGTAGAGAATTACCGCTGCATTTACGTAGACAACATTTTTGTATCCTTACACTGGCTGCCTCTTGTTTCGTAATAAATCATGGTTAAACATTCATTACGCTTTCCTACTACCAATTGACCACTTTTTAATCGACATTCTCAATATCTGGAGTTGCACACCGTGTAGAACCATTTCTATTAAATTGTTGGTGGGTTTGAAATAAGTAATATGAAGATGTATATCTCGTGACATTGCTATTGAATGGTTAACAGGTCATATTGAATGGTTAACAGGTCATATTGAATCAATAAATGCATGACTTTGTCAGAGTCTGAATGACAATACAGGCCAGTAAATGTGGTGAAAATGATCATTTCATGAAATAACTATTTATTATGCATTTTGGCACTTTTACTAGTAGTCCACTTATATAAATACGGCAATAATATGCCATGTAATAAATAATGGGTATGCACAAACATTACGACTTTGATATTTAGTGTCTAATGCTTACTTTTGGGGTGGTATGCTGCTGTCGTGCATCAAGTTCCCCTAATAGCGTGCCTCTTGGAAAGACTATTCTTGTTGGCATAGAGTATGTTGTACGGTTCCTTTCATGCATGTCAATAGTCGGTGTGTTGTTGTTATTCAATACTACCAGCGGCTGTGGTATAGATGATCGTGTCGAGCGAGATGCTGCAAGTGAAGCTGTTCGTGGTGGTATCAATCCCTGCCCTCGTGATACATGGGGATGATCTCTAATAGGCACATGTGTAGAAAACGCATACGATCGCGATGATTGGCGTGGACTAATATATACTTGGGGTGTATTTCTATCACAACGATGCATGTTCAACTGTTGTGGGGGTTGAAATTGATTATTAGGTCTTGGCTGAGTGATCGTCTCTGAATTCTGACTAAGGCGCAACGCATAAAGTGATGCCGTTGCAATAACTGCACGCTCAGCCGAATCTAGTCGCTGCTGTAGTTGTAAATTACGCTTTTCTTTTTCCATCATATACAAATTCAATGCGTGCACAACAATGGTCAAAAAGTGTGGAAATAACTAGCAAGAGGTTGAATGTGAAAATACTTGGGTTAGCTTGTTTTTATATACTTTATAAATGTATGCAGTGTACATGTTACTTACCATGGCAATCAAAATGTATCCAAAATTTAATGGTTTTTCATCCCAAAATATAAAATCAGCACATTCGCCTGATGTCAGGTTAAAATGGTACTGATCGAAACAGGGCATGAGCATGGTTTGAATTG